TGGATTATGTACATATGTACATAGGTATATGTATGTTCCCAACACGAGTAATTTATTTTTAATTATTTATTTTAAACTGTTTTATGTTTAGATTAAATGAACCTTATTTAAAAGACTTTTCGCCATGTTTGTACTTACATATTTAATTTAGTTGCATATTTAATGTAACTGATTATCTGTTGAGTACTAAAAAACAAGAAATTTGTGTCCGAATTCAACCCAAGTCATTCTTTTTCTTCTAATTCAAAAAATGTAGAATAGACTACATCAAAAGTAACTATATTCATGAAACAAAAATATGAGATCCTAAGCTACTTTCATATTGTATAACCTTTTAAGCAGATATACAGACATACATACATAAAAATATGTAAACATATGTATAAATACGAACCTACATATTATATCGCAACGGAAATTCCATTAATGGCAATGGATATTGAGCATTTCTCAACTTACAAAATAATTGGCCACATGCGAAAGCTAAGAAATCTCCTCCCTCCCTCTTGTGGCTGAAGCTTGGTGACAAAACAGTGTCATGGGGATCGGAACGATGTGGAGGAGAGTTTGGAGAGAAGACGATGACAAAATTGTCTCCGCGTTTAACAAATTGGGTGACAGGCTTTGAAGTTGCCGGCAGCCAGGGCCAGTGACAAATGACAAGCATAACAAATGAATATTATGCGTTTTTCTCTCTGCTTTACTCTGTATCTTTCTCTATCTCCCTCTATATCCCATTCGCTTTTCCTTTTCCGCATCAGCTTCTTCTTTTTTATACACTTTCAGAGGATACCGTGATTTTTGCCAGATGTTTGGAACTTTGAACACGAAACAGCAGGAGCCGACCGAACCCATAATTTTATTTAAATCATAATTACATTTATTAAAGACCACTATTTAAGCCAATTATAACGTTCCTGTGTTTCTCAAGATGTTTTTAATATATTGAAATTCAGAGTTTTTAGTAATTGCTGTAATTGGTACATATGTATGTATGTTTCTCAAGATAAAATCGAAAGGGTATATAAATATGCGGTCCACCGACTCATAGAGCCTACTATTTTTGTTGAGTTTCTGGGTTGAGCAACGACAGCCAGAGATAACAGTCGAAGGAGTGTATGCCAGACACTTGAGAAAACAAAAGAGCCAAGGGTGCGAGGATGGGGTGGGATGAGAGCGCAGCGCAGTCCAAGGAGCAGGCCAAGTGGCAGAAGCAGCATCAAATGTCATAAAGTGGCAAATACGCTATAAAATTGACACATCCAGCGGCGGGCAGCTTGCATAAGGTTACGGCCAGATGGGTGTGAACCGTACAACAGTCCGAAAGGACGGAAGCGTCAAATTGTCTACGGCAGCGGCACTCCAAAAAGAAGAGAACCCTCGTACATCTTGGACAGCATCAACACGTGATTATGTAAGCACTTGAGTCCTGTGCCCTCGGAGCTCTTGAGGGAAGGACGTAACACGGATCGCTGCAACTGCAGTTGACGATGAATTATTGGTGTAAACGTATACCCGGCTCACTTGAGAGGCAACATACCGCAGCAAACCTGTCACCTGATCCCAAACCCCGCATCCCACACGTTCGCTCGCTCACGGTCACTGCTAACGAGCATCGAAGATGAAGCTGTTCCCGATCCCCGGTACCGGTTGCGTATGCGGGCTGACCAAAGACTTCCCATCACCCATCCCCAATGCTCGACCTGGACATGTGTTTCTGCTCTGTTCGGGTTTCGGTTTGCCGGCGCATCTCTTTCACGCCTAATTCCCCAGGAGATGGAGCTGGAACTGAGACCGGGGTCGAGTCCGTTACGGTTTATATATTTTTAATGAAATGTACTCCGGCATTTTCCGGCAAGGCATGGAATCTGTTTTTGTTTGTTTGTGCTACCAGAAGGCCCCAAAAATGCAGCCATGGATGCAGAACTATATCAAAATATAATTACTCGATTATTGTTTTGCATAGCAGATGATGCTCAGGTATTTCCATATTTATTAGGATCCCAGACGCAAATAAAATGGAAAGGAAAATATTCTGTTTGCTTAACAAAAAGATAATGCCATAATAAAAATATACTTTGCTGGAATTCTTAGTTGGATTGTTTTCTGGATTTTTCCGGTAGTCATAAGAGCATTTTCTGTATAAATTTTTAAATTTGTATAGTAATTCCAGATTTGCAAATATTAAATTGTATGCATTTTGTTTTTCCATCGATCAATTGTCTTGAGAAATTTTTTGAAAAACAAAACTCTGTTTGCATTTGAATCGTTTGAGATTCCATTAACATTTGAAGAAATCCTCGGGTATTTGAAGATGGCTTTTTGTGAATTATATTGTTGGTGCTAATTAAAAACCTTCTTCGGTCAGGCAGGAGACGAAGACACACCATAAAGAGCCGACCGACCCGAGGCTGAGGCAGTGGCACGGCTTTGTGGTTTCTAACAATAATTAAAAGCAAATAAATAAACAGATTTGTTCAACGACTAATTGAAGTACAAATAAATCAAAATTTAACTAATAGTCCGACCGGACGGGAACGTGGACCACCCAAGGTGCCCGGCGACCGGGGTCCGTGTCCGTAGCAAGCATCTAATCCCCCTCTCCCCCTCCCAGCAACGGACCGAGGGAAAGAGTTGAGCTGTAATCGAAGTGTTAACAGGCCAAACGGGTTTCGCTGGGCAAACACACAAAAACACAAAAAAATCATAAAAAAATCACCCAAAGGTTTGACTACTGGCGAGTACTACGAGTACGTACATATACCAGGGCGCAGACAGCGACAATCTGACGAAACGTTGATGATGCTCACTCAGCGGTTGCTCATCTGAAAGTTGCCGAGATCTGCCGACAACGACAATCAGAGACGGAGATGCAGATGGATATGGATATACAGAGATGAAGTTGGGGGGAAGTTGGAGACGACGAAGGCAGCGAGTTCTCTTCATGCTCGTTGCACTTGAACGCTTCAACGGCATTCTGATTTGTGGCTGCGGCTGCTACGGACCGGCAGCTCATATATGCACTGGGACCCTGGCATCCCCAGACCAGGACCCGGCCATATTTCACGTGAACTGCATCTAAAAATTCATCTACGAAATGGTGAAAAAGAAGCGAAAGCAAAAAGCAAACATCAAACAAAGGAATGGAAAGGTGAAAGTTTGGGAAGCCCTATGGCATCATGGAGTTCTACGATTATAATCGGTATCTCTCTTGACTCGCGGTTGACTCTCTCGTTCTCTATCCCTTGATCACATCACCCTTTGCTTCAAACGAGAGAGCCGCGTTTAAATTTCAATATGGCGTCGGTGCCGTTTCCGCATGGCTCCTCAGATGCTGCCGTTGATAGACGCGCTTTAAATGCATAAAATTGCCGACTATAAATAACATTTAATGAAACACATTTTTCGATTCTTAATTCTACACGCATCCGCATCTCATTCCCGGCCTGCCCCTGCCCTGCCGTGGCGTGCCAGGGCGCTCGATTCCCTTCCCCGATTTGGTTTTTGTTTTCCATATTGTTTTTGGCAAAGGAGGAGAAGAGCATTTAGCTTGGCATCTTCTATGCTTTTTGAGTTATTATTGTAATTTGGCTGTGGGCAGTCATGTGGAACGGTTGTGGTGCACACCCAGTCGCAGTTACGTTACTCCGGAGTCCGGGCCCGACCAGACCCGGGGCCACAGTCATGCCAACGTTTGGCATTCTGTGTTCATTTAAATTTTTCACAGTCTATGAAATATAATAAGTTTGCGACATGTGCATCACAATGTTCTCTTCGGGGCAAGCGAAACTTTAATTAAAAAACCAAAAATATCTTGTTCACTTTGGAACTACTCCCAAAAATTAATAGAGGATTGCAGGGATTCAGGGAAAAGGGTTACAATGTTTGCTCTTCACATGAAAATAGATCACGAGATGTAGATGTAGTGCCACTTAGCCACCTACGCAGAAGCTCTCGGTTCCAAATGTGTTAACGGTGAACTCGCTGGGAGCCCATTTTATGCGTTTCGTTTCGCGCGCACATCTCGAAGTTCAAATGGGCCGTAACGTAACGGCAGACTAACACGGGAAAAAGTGAAGAGATTGTTTTTTCACCCCAACGGATGGGAAGACAGTGCGTTTCGGGAGTGCAAGGTAGATGTCTGAAAAAGTAGAAGATCTGAGGATATTGTGGGTTTATGGAATAGCATTCAGATATATTTTGAAACAGATCATTTAATGCTTCCCTTCAGTCAAAACTTTTTCTAATGAAATCATTTCTATTCTTTTAATTTAAATTATCAAAATTATAATCCTGGAAGACAATACAATATCGACTTATGTCCATGGACAAAGAGTGTGTATTTGTGGTTGGAATTTTCGGTCCGAAAAGTAAGTCTTGTCTGCGACTCAACTGTCCAAGACATTGACTGAACAGGCAAGGCCGAGAAGGCAGCGGTGCGGAATTGGTAGTAACATATTTTGTAGTCTTCGGTACAACACAAAATGTTCTTAATATTCTGGAAACGCACTGTACACATGTGCGAGTGTGTGTGAAAATGCAAAGGAAAATTCATAAAGCGGCGGCGGATGTTTTCATAATTTTTAACGCTTTAGTTTTATTTAAGTGTTTATGGAGAAATAACTAATGAAAAAATGCCTTGAATTGCATATTTTGCAGCACTGCACTATGCCGCCTCTGCCTCTCCCTTGCGGCGAGTATTAATAAACATGCAGCGGGCTCGGCTCGGGTTTGTGTTTGTGTTAAAGCGCAACATGATTCGCTCGATTTAAAATGCATTTCCATGCCAATGGCAACGCGCCGAGTTGCCGCCCTTTGATTTATAAAACAGACTGCCTGGTCGTTCCCCATGTCCCCACTGCAGCCCCTCTGAGATCTGCCATCGAAAAAGAGCGGCGGCTGCTCGTTTACTTAATGTCATTGCAATATTATAGAAGGGGGGAATGGAAACATGGTTTTCCTGGACCCAGACAGCAGCAGCCACATTAAGATACATGAAATTTGATTACTTTACGGCCAGGCTCTTATATTTCCACGCTTTAAATGCTCTTGCGAATGTTCGGTTACACATCAAAACTTAGTTAATTCTAACACAAAGTAACGTTCTGGGGCGTAGGAGTTTTATCTTGACCAGGTATTGCGGGCTGAGCTCTGCAATACAAAGACTTTTTGAATTATTGATTTCGCTATGATAAATGCAGGCACTCACACAATCAAAAAAGGGGAAATATAAGGCAACTACACTGCAAAACAAATGTGGTACGGGGCTGGATTGCGGATTTGCTGTTGGTTAGCGGCTTAGCTTAAAGGTAGAATATGCTGCAAGCACTCTATTATTCCGTCTTGGGCACGCTCAGGTCGTAGAAGAGCTTGGTCATGCCACCAATGCCAACCAGAGCCAGTGCCACTGTGACGCGGTACAGCACACTGTCGACAGCGGAGCCCTTGAGGAAGACGGGCTTGCCATCCTTCTTCTGGAAGTGCTCCTGAACCTTGCGGATCTCAAAGTATCCCTTCTCGATCTGCTCCTTGCCGACAGCGGTGGAGCGGCGGCTCGTGGTGGTGGCAAAGCTGCGGACAACGGCCTGCAAAAGGAAAATGTGCGGTTAGTTCGGCGGAGCTCCAGCGCCCTTACGTAATTGCCCGTGAACTATATTTTCCCAGGCCCTGGAGGAATGCTCCACATCCAGCAGTGCCTTTGGGCTATTTCCAGTCGCAAAATTTTACTCACTCTCGACAGGTTCATCATTTTGCTGAAGATATTATTATATATTTTTAGCTAAACGCGAGAAAAGTTTTTCTGGGCTGAAAATCCGGACAAATTATGACAGCTGTTTTGGAGAATTAGCGCTGCCACCCCGTTGTATTTTTAATACTTTTCGGTATTTTTTTAGGTCAAATTTGAGTAGACGGTATATTTGCGGTATATAATGGTATATTTTTATTTTATTAAATTTCACTTTAAAAGCTATATTTAAGCAGAAATGGTAAAGCAAGTATTTAAAATAAACAAGTCATGTAGAAAATAGGTTTATTAATTGGGTAAAATTATGTGGGCAGCGCTGAGTTTCTTAGCTAGCTGGTAATATCTGAAGGAATATCAAAAACGAGGAATATGGATAACAGAACTTGAATTCGTCAGTATATTTTCGGTATATTTTTAAGACGGTATATCTGGGTATAATTTGAGGGTATTCACTAGAGCTGTCAAACCATCGATAGTGGCAACTAGCACCAAAACATCGATACTATCGATGGTGCCATTGATGGTTTGACACCTCTAATTCACACTCAATCAAAACATAAGCAGCTGCTGATTTTATAGTTAATTTATAGCTTGTAGGCTATCATATCTCTCAGGAGTCGCCATGGGCTTCCTCACAGTATTAAAAAAGATGCGACAGAAGGAGAAGGAGATGCGCATTTTGCTGCTGTGAGTTTTAATGAAACTTTGCGGCGAGCCAAACAAGTTGTGATTCATTGTTATGCTTTTTTGCAGCGGTTTGGACAATGCCGGAAAGACAACCATTCTGAAGCGCTTTAATGGCGAATCCATAGACGAAATCTCGCCCACTCTGGGCTTCAACATCAAGACACTGGAGCACAATGGCTACACCCTGAACATGTGGGATGTGGGCGGTCAGCGCTCTCTTCGCTCTTACTGGCGCAACTACTTTGAGTGCACCGATGGCCTGGTGTGGGTGGTGGACAGTGCTGATCGGATGCGCCTGGACTCGTGCCGACAGGAGCTGCAGGTACTCCTCGAGGAGGAACGCCTGGCCGGAGCCACCTTGCTGGTGCTCTGCAACAAACAGGATCTGCCCGGGGCGCTTAACTCGAACGAAATCAAAGAGGTGAGAAAACTAGTCAAATTAAATATTATTTATTAACATTAAATGGCATAATTTGTAGATACTACATTTGGATGACATCACCACTCACCACTGGCTGGTGGTTGGCGTAAGCGCTGTCACTGGGGAGAAGCTGCTCAGCTCCATGGACTGGCTCATTGGAGACATTGCAAAGCGAATATTCACATTAGATTAAAGCGGAATCGTTTTACTTTTCCACCAAATACATCTTGTACAGCCTCTTTTCCTTCTCGTCGACAAACTTCGGCACAAAATTTACTCTGTTTATGGTGGCGAAACCTTCGTCGAGCGTCGGTTCCTTGTACTTCTTCTTCATCATGTTGAAGACCATGTCGCTGATTTGCGAGTGCGGCGTTTCCAAGAGTTCGCGAAAGGCAATATTATGCTTAACCTGAGCCGTGGACACGTTCATCACAAAGCAGCGGCAGGGAACTTTTAGCTCGCCTGCCAGGGCAAGGAACTTTTTTCGGGACGCTGCATCCACATTGGTATTGTCCACCACACACGATTTTCCAGAGCTCAGCAAGCGTTTGCAGGTATTCAGACAGGACTGCGTGCTGCCCAAGGTGTCTGCATTGACAATTTCATAGCCGCGACTCTGCAGCACCTCGGCACAGAAGTGACTCTTCCCAGATCCGGGCAGGCCGACCATGATGATCATCTCACACGAGTCCTCGTCGAAGTGGACATCATTTGGCTCAAACTGGGCTATTTGGTCGTGCACGCAAGTGGGATCAAAGTCGGGCTTGTTCCACTGCTCCAATCGTTTGCCCAGGAAATGTACTTCTGGTGTGTAGAACGAGAGGCCAATGTTGAAGGCGAAAAGTCGATCGGCCAGCGAGTGATCCTTGCGCTGCTTGGTCGCTCCCTTGCCCATTTCGGGTCTCCCAGCGGCATCGCCGACAAAGAAGCAACGGTCCAGCTGTATGTCTACCCCGTCATTCATTTCGTTCTTGAGGTGCTCCCACATGCCGGGAAGCGGCTTGCGGTAATATCCACCGCCGATAGCTATGAAAACTTGGATAGGTACACCCAACTTCTTAACAATTAGCTTTATCTTGACCTTGAAGTCATCCAGGGATACTTTGCCGCGTGCAATACCGGCCTGGTTGGTGAAGAAACAGATCTTAAAGCCATCATTGTGCAATTTTTTAAGTTTCTCTGGCACCTCTGGAAAGATAATCTGCCAGTCGTCCGTGGTCTTGGGGAATACATTGCCCGACTTTGTCTTAATAATGGTGCCGTCCATATCGTAGCCGGCAATTTTCCCGGAGGCCACGACTCCAGCGCTGGTGTAGATGACCAATTTTCCATTGGATACTGAAGCCCATTTCTCCTCCACAGTGGCAGATGCGGACACAGCTAGTGCGTCTTCCTCTGGGACGGACACAGTAGAATCCACTGGTGGAGGGCTAAATATGACTTCGTAGCCATGACGGCCGTAGACAATCTCCACCAGATCGCCGTGCTTCAGCGCGCATTCCGAGTGCTGCATAACCATCACTCCGTTAATGCCGCACGGGTTCATGCCCAGAACCTTCAAGGTAATGCCACAGCTCTTGGGGTCCACTTGCAATCGAAGCTGCTGCTTGGAGCAGCGCGAATCCCGTATCCCGGTTTCCTTGCTGCGTCCCACAAAGTTCTCTCCCGCGGACAAACGTATGGCGCTATGTTCGGCTTCCGTTGGCCTGAGGGTGCAGGTTCTCGACACAGCCTCTATGCCCACGGATCGATTTAGGTATTTAGCCAACGACATATCTTGGTTTTTTGGAAATAAAAAAGGTAAACAACATTCTTTTTTTGAGGGTTTAAGCTACCATGCTACCCGTGTAGTAGCGTGGGATTATTTTGCCGCCCGCCTTTTGAAGGTGGAAATTGCCAAGTCAAAGAATAGAAGATGTTGGAGTACTGTTTATAGCTTTACATTAATTTCGTCGATGAAGTCAATTAGTTTGGTACGCGCTGCTGTTTTCTTTTTCAAAGAATTTGTAAATATCTTAATAATAACTTAGAGATGGAAAGTTTTGCCTTGTGTTTTATTTGGTACAATTGAAAATTACATGCGAGGCGTTTTCGATACTATCGCATGTATAACTACATGCATGTTACCATGTGTTACCACCAAGCAGTCTGTTGATTCTCTTAGCGTCACTTTAAGAATTTAGTAACCACGGTTTGGATAATGTTGAGGGGAAAAGCGAGCAGTAACCTCGGTGCTTGACACTAGCAAACCCATTCTCTCCCATTCTGCTTTTAAAATTCTGTGTATTTCACACATAGCGTCTTTAAGGTTCCATTTAACCACTGTGTATTTTCCTCGTCTGTGGGCTTCTTTCGCTGCTGCGTCAACTGAAGTGTTGTGAGGGATATTAGCGTGTCCGGGAATGTAGTGAACCTCTACAGTTCTTAGATGTTGATTTTGTTGAATCTTTTCTCCGATTTTGTAGGCGATAGAGATGCGATATGTGCCGATATTAATTTTTATATTATTCCAGATGCCACATACGGTTATTAATTATTTCTCTGGACGTGGACGTGGTGGCATCGCTCGTGGTGCCTTTGGTGTTGGTGCCAATGGACGTGGAGCCTTTGGTGCTGGAGCCGCCAATGGACGTGGAGCCCGTGGACGCGGAACCCCTGGAGGCGGCAACGCTGGGGGACGCGTTATCCCTGGAGGCAAGAACGCTGGGGTACGCGGACGACGTGGAGATGGACATATCAGTATGCGTATGCGTAGGGCCATTGCGTCTTTCGTCCGTGCCGTGGGGCGCCAAGCTCCACAAGTCGCTGCCCCAGGAGCTGCCCAGGAGTTGCCTTTTGCTCATACAACAGTAGCATAAACAAAAGAGTATCCAATTGCTCAATTCTTTATTCCGTCGAATATTACCAGCAAGATAGAACTTTCAACCATGCTCACATAACTTTATCCCATTGATGAATCAATTTTATACTTGATTATGGCCATGTATTGGCCATTATATTTTCTATGGCTTCAATGAGCGAAAAAGATGACCTAGTCATGACTAGGGACCCTCATCCCTGAAAACATATTTTTATCAAATTTATACATAAATTTTTTACAAGATATGCTAATTTTAGGTAATGTAACGACATTGTTTCTGGTCAATAGGTATCCGTTGAAGCAGAGACTGGCTGGTTTCTGCATTCATTGGAGAATAGGATAACAAACATTTCCTCAATTCTAAAAGGCATTGGTCGTTTATGTTTAAATTTCAAAATCAAATTCAAAGATAAAGTAGGCTTTTCACTATATACTTCGCTAACGATCCCAAATTTTGTCAACTCGCCTTCAGTAGCAAACAATATCTCATTCGATAAAGTCTAAAAAAAAATTATTCAACAAAATGCAAAGAAATTTGTTACTTTCCTTGCGCGTAAGTAAATTGAATATACAATTTTGGGAAATGTTAAATATTTCAAATTTGTATTCTGACAGCCGTTGCTCCGCCGGTCCCAAGTGTTGTCTCCGCTGTATGCTACCCCGCGGATGTTTGCGACCCCGCAGGTGTTTGCGACCCCGCGGTTGTTTCAAACTGGTTCCCTGATGCAGGCTCAGAAGAAAATCAAGGGCAAGCTCTCGCCGAAGATAGCCAAGTTGCAGAGGCAATATCAGGAGAACAATGGAAAGCCGGTGTTCCTCAAGGGCGGACCCATGGACAACATTCTATATAGGCTGACTTGGGTCCTAGCCATCATAGGCATCTTGGGCGATGTCTGGCTTTGGCTTGGATATATAATATTTAATTAACGTATATAAACGACTTACACATGCAGATAGTCAACACAAGTGCCACGACTGTCATCAAAAAATGCGACACTTAAATCAACCATTTCTGCTCCACATCCCTCCCAAATTCAACATGTAACACTAAAACATACAAAATCGTCGTGCTTTCTGCGCCGCATCCCTCCCAAAAGTAACATGTGACATTAAATCAAAAGAAATATTCCCGTTTTCTGCAGCTGTGTCCTTATCCGGCTAGAATAAATAAATTGGGTTTCGATAACAACTTTTTTGCTTTCCGCGGCTTGTCGATAGAGCATTCGATAGGCGTGCAGATGGTTGTGGCGGCGCCAGACAGATATGTAGATTTACTTGTAGAATTCCAGTAAAATATGTGTCAAATTGACATTTGGGAATTGAGTTGTTTTTTAGCCGTTTATTTTTTAATTTTTCATTTCCGATCCTATGGTACTTTGAAAATATAATGTGATGACGGTTTTTTTTCTTTTAGAAAACTCCTCTGCAGTTAGTCTGGTAATATGATTTAAGACATTCCTTTAGCGAGCATATGCATGTTTATTTCTCTTCCTTCCGCTTCGTTGCCCCTACTCTTTCTTGGCAGTGCCCATGGCCAAGTGTGGGTCTTAAGACCACTCGCTGGCCGCACTCTACAGCAAAACCTAATTAACTCATTTAGACCCGTCTCGTAAAAACATTTATATTTTTTCTGCTTTGCCACTTTACGCATTTGCCAAACGAGAAAGAAGAAACACCGAAAAACAGAAAGAAGATGAGCTGGGCTCTGGCCATGCAAAATCGTGGCATAATTACTGTGGCCAAATGAGCAAGCAGCCGGCGGTTCGATTTTCGATAGATTCATTCATTCCCCCCGCTGGCTGCACATTTGAACTTTTACTTTTGACTGCCGGCTGCTGCCGATGGTGCCTTGAGAATGAATGGGGCATCTAAGTGGCGGCCACATGGCGAGTGGATCACAGTCCAGTGGCTAGGTCCGTCTGCGAGTATCTGGAGGTGTTGCAACAGCAAGGCCCCACAATTGAACAGCTGAGGAGCTTTGCATAAGCTGAGCAAATGGTTAGCACCCCGAAAGGCTAAAGTTGGCTCTTGGCTCGCAGAACTGCAGCACAGCACAGCACCCAGGCCCAGACCCATCCTGTCCCGCACCCATGTATGGACATGTTTCTCTTTTTAGGCGGAAAACAAACTCAACTCAGACACTGCCATCGTCATCGACACCACACCGCCAACGACCGGTCACCAGCTCCCACAGCTCCCCCCCAGCTCCAGACTTTGGCGAAAAACGTGTCGCGGCAATTTCCCATTCAATTGCAGCTTTTCCATGTTGCATCTTTTCTTGTGTCTCGTTTCGGTTTTTGCCTAGTTTTTCGGTTCGCATTGCATATGCATTGCAATTTCTCCGCCGCCGCCGCCTCCGGCACCGTCGTCGTCCGTCTACTCATCTGCCCGAATGCCGCTGGATGGTGGATGGTTGGTCTCGGTCTCCGCGCTTGACTTACATAAAGCTAGGAGCACACGCTGCCGTTGGACACACACCAAAAACTTGTTTTGTCTCTTTCGAGGAAACGACAGAAGCGTCACTTGGCCCATGATGGCGAGACATCCAGAGGAGTGGAGGTGCAGAGGGAGAGGTGGCCCATAGGAGACGGTGCCTCCGATGATCATCAGCTTTCGGCTCAGCTGTGGCTGTGGATATGTCTGCGGATGACGATGACGATGAGGTTATTGCTTTGACTATTGCTACTGCCAGTGCCTCCAGCTGCTGGGGAAGCGGGGGACTCTTCTGCGTTGGCGCCTTATGTAACTTGGATATGTGAGGGGGGAGCGATGGCCAGCCTATGTACGCGTATGCCCTGGGTACCAAACATTTTGCGCACTCATCTTCATCCCCCAGCCAGCAATTACACTTTTGTCATACTCTCGGATTCTGTCTGTCATCAATAGGCTTGAATAGTCAGTTTTTTTTCTCCCCTCCTTATACACATCTTTGAAAAATGGCCTCCTCTTTAACATTAATCATATGCCTGGAATCTTTTTGTGCGCATCTCTGCCACAGCTGCTGCGCAGAGGTTTCGGTGTCGATTAGCATGTTCAAATGGACAACGATGCATGCACCTGAAGATATCAGAAACTGCAAATGCGAAAACTGCGAAAAAGAAGGCTGAATGGAGTCGTCTCTAATGTTGCGTATACGCCAGCTGTTAAACGTGTCGCCGTGATGCGACGAGATGGAGCCCAAGGATAATCGAGACAAAATCAAATCCAAGCCACATCTAGTCACAATGCTTTTTACTAAAATATCGCTCAAATTCGCAATATTTGGCAATTGCAATGGATTCAGGGCGTTGTCTGCCACATTCGAATCGATTTTATTTTGAAAATTTATGCGCGTCTGCCCGGCAAATGTCTATTGCCAGCTTTTGCTAGTGCTCTCTGGCTCTGCCCGAGTCGGCCCAATTATAGTGTCATAACAATTACGCACGAATAATGAGTTTCTGTTTGAGCCAAAGCTGGGAAAACAGAAAATAGCAACCACCGCCACAGCCAAATCATTGCTGTCTGGTGTCTGCTGTCTACTGTCTGCTATCCGGCGCTGACCTAGTAGACGACGTGTTAATGATGGATTTGTTGAGATATGCCTTCGAGTATAATAAAGAGGTTGAGGTTCATTAAAGTTGCAAAAAGCGTGTAAAAATAGACGCAGAAGCGAATCGAGTGATGGGTTCAGTGTAAATATGTGTAGTTCAGACATGGGGGGAGTACATCCCTGAACCTGTCTTCGAATGCGACCTTACAACTGTTACTCCAATTACATGGCAGAAAGTAAAGACCGACAAAATAAAAAGTGAATTACGACATCAGCTGGGAGGGAGAGACCTTCATCTTCGTCTTCGTCTTAAGACAGGCCACAATAAACCAAATTAACGGCTCGAATGACAGTCCCGGACAGTGGCAGTGGCAGCCCCAGCGCCACAACGCCACAGCGCCACAGCTGATCAAAACAGACCAAGACTCGAAAATGATTTAGCGTCTGCGTCTGCTGCTGCTGCTGTTGAGTGTTAAGTGTTGACTTTCATCTCATTGTTGCCCCCAACTCTAATTGCAGATCGCGCCCCGGCCACGCAACGAAGCACGCCGCAAAGTCCTTCACTTTGGAGCATGAATGCTGTTTCAAGGGGCTAACGCGCCCTTAGCCAATGCTCCAGAGTAGGATTTGGTTACAGCTCCGCGAAAGTACTCGAATGTACGGAAAGAGGGGAGGGAGATGCGATGGTAGATAAACCTCATTTACTTGAATTTACTGCCAGTTTGATTCAGTTTCATTTTGTAGTAGTTTTGTCTTTCGGAGAGTTGAGGGCCTTCCCTCAGACGGCGTACAGGAGCATCTGCTGACATAATGGATTCCCATGGAGACTTCTTTCACTTCTGCAAGAATTCACAGATTTCTGGTTTCATTTGGAGGTCAGATCGGTTTCATAATCATCAGCTTCGCTCCCTTTTGTGACTCACGCAATGCGAGTGCGAAAGTGAAATGGAAACGAAAATTGGCATTTGTTTGAGGTCTTTAAACTTCTTTTTGTAGCAGATCTGGCTTTGATGGTTAAGCCTCACACTGTCTCTCTGTATGTAAATGTAAATTTAATTCAACTCCTTGGGAAACATTAATTATATGCCCTGTGCCGTCGTGCCAGAGCCCTACTGCTCCACTTGGAGATTATACGTATTATACACCCATCTTCTCTTTCTTTGTCTTTCCCAGTCACAGTCCATTTCGTAATCGTTGCGCTGAAGCGACGGGGCGATGGGGCGGTGGAGATGGAGATGGGGATGTGGATGTACTGTACGATGCACATGCATCCTCCACACTTTTCTTTAGGGAGTTGGAAGACAATTGCATTCGTAATTTGAATTGCCATAGGGCAACGGGAAATCTGAAATGATGTTTCGTCATGGGAACCAAAGGAGCGTCGCCGTCCTTTATTGCAAAATATTTATAATTTAACCACTGTGAGACTGGGCATGGGTCCTGCTGGATGCCTCGTCTGTCAGGTTATTTACCCTACAGATCAATCGCGTTGGGAAAAATCACTTCCTGGTCCAGGGGCTATGTCGCAAGTCAACCCGACGATGTCGACGATGTCTCGATGTTTGGCCGGGAAAAGCGAATCGAAGGAAAAGTGCCAAAGAAAATTTCAAATACCAAAATCGTTAGCGACATTTTATTTTATTTTGTTTTATTTTTGTTTCAGCTTTGTGTATTTCTTCTTTTTGCCATTTGGAAATTTTTGTTTTATTGTGAGAAGCACAACAACAACATGCATCGAAGCAATGGGCAGTGGGGACTGAGGAGCTGCTGCTGGGAGAAGAAGATGGAGTTGGAGTTGGCCAAGGCGCCGTCGTCTTCTGCCCCAAAACGAGTTGAAGATGAAGGTACCGTGCCCCCCACTAGTGTATGTGTGTGTGTGTGTGTGTGTGTGTGTGTGTCTGTGTGCGAGTGTCGGCGATAATGATGTTGCCGAAGATAGCGAAACGAAAACCCCAAGCGAAGAAAACGACGACAACGACGACGACGACCACGACGATGGGTATAAAGAGGGCCCGTCCGGGCATTCGAGATGCATTCAGTCGCTGGTTCCCCACTCGAAAGCAACTAAATTTACTTTATCATTTTACTTCACTTCTCTCCCCCACACACACAAAACTCGTGGCTATGAACTCCTTCTCAGTGGTAAGTAGGATGACCAGAGGACCGACCAAGCGGATTGTGGAACAATTGGATTACCATTACCATCATTACCTTGCATTGCAGTTCTTAGTGTTCGCCCTAGCTGCGCTGGCCGCTGCGGAGCCCCCATCGGGCTACAACTATCCCCGTGGAGGCGGTGGCGGTGGCGGCGGCTCCTCGTTTGGCGGTTCCTCATTTGGCGGCGGCGGCTCCTCTTTTGGCGGCGGCGGCGGTGGTGGCGGCGGCGGCTTCCAGGCCGTCAGCGGTGGCTTCCAGACATCCGAGGGCCAGAATGTTGATCCCGCGCTGTTGGAGCAGGTCCGCCAGATCCTGCTGAATGAGGAGAGCAAGCAGGGAGGCGGCGGTGGAGGTGGTGGAGGTGGTGGTGGTGGCGGTGGCTACCCAAGCGGTCCGTCGAGCAGCTACGGTGCTCCTCCCTCGAGCAGCTACGGTGCGCCCGGCGGAGGTGGTGGTGGTGGTCGTGTGGTCGGCATCGATCTTGAAGGCGTCCGTCAGGCCATCCAGGTTGCCCAGTTCGCCCAGCAGAGCACCCAGCAGGGCGGCGGCGGTGGTGGTGGCGGTGGTTACCCAAGCGGCCCCCCATCCGGTTCATATGGCGCACCCTCGAGGCCCGGCGGCAGCTATGGCGCGCCCTTCTAAAACTAGAGGACTCTCAGATCAAAAATCAAATTGCGCTGCCAAAAATGAATACCGACGGAATGGACGACATTTAACCGACTACGACGACGATACCGCAACCAATCCCGACACGACACCAACCAGCATCAAACAACAACATGAACAGCAATTGGAATCAACATGATACTCGTATGTGGGTATTCTGGAACCTGGAACACATAGTTCGACTAGTGATGTGGATGATCCCGATCCAAGTATCTAACCCCCAACCCTCAGCGACTGTAATTCTCTAGCCCTGTCTCTCCTACCCCATCCAAAATCCGATTTCGGATCGAACCAACCCTCAATGAAACTTCGACTCGAAACGGTTTCGTTTTCACCTTTCTTTTTGGAACCTTTGTAAATAGTTTTCTCACTACACACAAAACACACAAAAAAAAAACTCAAGAAAAAAGCTGAAAACGAACATGAAAACAACAACAACCATTACAACACCATCAGCACCCCAGACAGTGTTATAACGCATTATTAGTTTGTAAGTGTTTTTATTTTATATGAAACAAACAAAGAAACAACAAAAAAAGTATGAAAATAATAAAAAAAATAGTAAATTTTGTCACCGTTAAAATTTTGATGATCTTTTTACTTTTTTCGGATTTTTTAGACAGAAGATTCTTTTAGTATGAGCAGTTTTTTTCTTAGAGTTTCCTACTCCAAAAACTCAAGAATTCTTTAGAAATCATCATTAGCTTTGTCGTGCTAACCATAAAGATTTACAAATGTCGCCGTTTACTATCGTACAGGTTTGAAAACTTGAAGATATCGCATTATAAAAAACAATATTACATAGACCAATTCCAATTAAACTCGTTTTTGGGGCCATGCAATCGATTCACTCGCATTGGATTCAAAATATCAATTCCAGTTGTCACTGGCCTTACGTGAGATATCGTACATGAAATACCAACAAGCATCTTCAAAAATCCTTTCACTTTTCAATTCGACAGCCACCCCTCCTCCGGCACTGCCGCACAGCCGCACAGCCGCACTTGTGGAGCACGCTCATCATCAATGCCCGTCGTGCAAGTGCTCGACGTGGAGATGGGGCCTGAGAGGCGCTCATTACGCGAAGATTGCGACAGATGCAGTCGAGAGACTGGGTCAAAATGCAGCCCAGGAGGAGGGGTAGGGGGAACGTGGACAGCTATTGGATGGGGTCGCCGACGGACATCAACTATTACCATCCAAAAATGAAGTTGGAGTCTGAAGCCACTTTACCCACATTCAACATCATTAACATTTCCCAATTGAATGCGTGCCGCGGTGGCCTGGCCATCTATGGCCATCTTTGGCTCTGGACGCTGGTAGTGCATCCGAAAACGAGGCTCAGGCGGACGAGCAGCAAATGGAGTGTGCAACTGCAACGGATGTAACAGTAGCTGAAACTAAGCGGCGGCAACTGCGACTTCCAACAATGTGTTGTGGAATTCAAAGATTACGGCATAAGAAAGAGCCACCACAAACACAAAATTACAGAGTGTCTATTTATCTGATGATGTCGTTTGTAGCGCAACGAAGCTATTTTTTATAAAGAACATTATACAATACATTCAACTTATCTTTTCTTTTTATTTGGACCTAGTGCTTATAGGGCAATAAGTTATGAAACCTTCTAAGTAAAACACCAGGATTAATATAATAATTTGGAATGTTTTCAAACCCAGAATTTTTTGGGTTACATTGCTCTTTTCAGTCATTTTCTTGCTGGATTGTTATTAAACATCTATACACTGAAAGAAACACTGGTATAAAGCAAAACCAACTCACCCAAAATTAAATTAAGTATTCGGATTTTAAATAAAAAAGTGATATAAAATAGAATTCACAAATATAAATGTATAAAAAGTCTTTATGATATAAATATTATAATATTATAATATTTCCAATAATATTTTGGGGAAAATATTAAAATCTAAGTGTAACCATTAGGGGCTCAGGGCTTTTTTCTCTGTCTGTTAGCTATCAGCAACAAGCACGATTATCTTTTATTCTTTTGGCTAAACGCCATGGCATAAACGACTTTGAAATTTCCATGTCGAACAATAAAGAATTTATGGGTTGATAAGCATCAGCATTAGAGACTTTAGGTTAGGTTAGGTTAGGTTAGGTAGAGGCGGTTGCCAGGCTCGATCGGAGTACGCCACACTTAGGCCGGCGTCGGCCCATTGTGATACCGCTTGGGATCATTCCCCTTCCTGCAAGAAGTGAGACTTCATGACCATATGCCCTTATAAAGTTAGCGAACTTTCTGGGACATAGTGTACAATCCGAAATATCTGTTAAAAAGGCAGAGCCTAAGTGTTGTAGCCTTCTTCTGCTGAGAGCTGGACAGGAGCAAAACAGGTGTTCCACTGTCTCGTCCTCGTATCTGCAGTCGCGGCAGAAGTCATTATGTGCCTAATAGCCAATGTACTGTGAGGTAACGTATGACTGCGTAGACTTTAAGTCCACAGCAATAATTCCCATAAGGGACACAATTTTTGGCTTCAGGAGCAAGTAATGTTTTGCCTATATTGATAAACAAAATAAAAGATTCTTATCTTAATGAAGGAAGTAATAGGTGCCTTATAAAGAGGCGGGCGACTATGCAATCTGGGGATGACTGGCAGGTTATATGTATCCAGGGGGCGCTTTTCGCGTTCAGTGTTGGGATGACAGTGAAAACAATGAATGAGTTGGCTCGCGGCTGCTTCCGTAATCTCAGATAATCCAGCGTCGGAGGAGTCTGCAATGTCAGAGTCTCACGTGTTGCGTGGGGGAGAGAGAGATAGAGGTAGATAGAGAGAGAGAGCGGTAAGTAAGCAAGAGAATTGACAAGGGGTTTCTAAGATCATCGTAGAAAATCTTCATCATATAAGATAAGACCCAGAGTTGTCGTAAGAGAGCCGTCAATAGATAATACTTATTTAGAACTGGCAATTCTTGAGATAACATCGACATCGGGCGAAAAGTTTATATAAAGATTGAGAGTACGGCGGGATGCGCTCAAACGCAATTTTTCGCCGGAGTCGGAAAGTGCATAACAAGATCGGAGAATTCTGAGCGTATTCCTGAACGTATCCTTTAAAAATGTCGGCTCTATTGAATGCCTCGATCAAGGCAGCTGCTGTCGTGGCACCCGACTCCCAGTTTGTGTTCAACTCTACGGATTACGTGATCTTTTCCCTGATGTTGAGCATTTCAGCAGCCATTGGCGTGTACTTTGGATTCTTTGCCAAGGGCGAGGACACCACCGAGGAGTACCTGATGGGTGGCAAGCGTATGAAGACCTTACCGATTGCCATTTCTCTGGTGGCCAGTCAGCTCTCGGCCATTTCCATTATGACCATTCCGGGCGAGATGTATGGCTACGGCATCAATTGGTTCTTTAATGTCGTCTGCATGGTAGTGGTGGTGCCTCTCCTCAACTACGTGATCATTCCCGTCTTCTACAACAATAACATCACCAACTGTTATGAGGTGAGCGCCCTGCCATTGCGGATATACTCTGTATCCAGTTTGTAAATCATTTGTGGTTGCAGTATCTGGAGATGCGGTTCGACAGGAAGGTGCGCGTCCTGCAGACCTTCCTCTTCATAACGACCATGTTTTTCATGCTGCCCATATTCTTATTCTTGCCCTCGCTGGCCTTCTCCCAGGGTAAGATAAAACTCACAGATCAATTTTAAACACCATCAGCATAATGGTTTTCCTCCAGTGACGGGCTTCAATGTGCACATCATCAATGCCATCGTCTCTGGCATCTGTGTCTTTTACACCATGTTTGTGAGTCATAAAGCACTTCCCGTTAGATCCATATTCATCCGAATTCTCGATTTTCCAGGGTGGCATCAAGGCGGTGGTCTGGACGGATGTAGTCCAAGCGGGCATTATGGTGGTCTCCGTCGTTTTGGTGGGCGTAATGGGTGCCTATCGTGTGGGCGGCTTCTCCGAAGTCTTTCGCATTGCCGGTGAGGGTGGTCGTCTGGATGTCAAGTAGGTTCCTCCCAAGGGCTTCACCAACAAAGAATAATAATCTTCTGCCTTTACAGCTTTAACTTGGATTTGACCACGCGCTCCACCATCTGGAACGTCTTCTCCTCGGCCACAATCATGTGGGCGGGCTATGTGGGCCTCAACCAGAGCTGCGTCCAGCGCATCGTCTCCCTGCCCTCGCTGAAGCACGCCAGGAGGTAAGTGGATATATCGATTGGATCCAACAGACTCTCATCATTGGTACACCCAAGGGCTCTGGTGATCTTCGGCTTTGGCTTTGTGATCATCATGTTTTTCAACTGTTTCACGGGCATCGTGATCTTCTCCCGCTTCTTCGACTGCGATCCCATTAAGATTGGCCAGGTGTCCAAAGTGGATAAAATGGTACCGTATTTCGTTCAGGACACTGTCGGACATCTGCGTGGCCTGCCCGGGGTGTTTATCTCGTGCGTGTTCAGTGCGGCCCTGAGCACTCTCTCGGCCAGCATTAATTCTCTCGGAGGAGTGGTTTATTTCGATTACATCAAACCCCACATCCGCCACACGGAGCACAAGGCGAACGTGATTATGAAGCTGTTTGTGTTCTTCTGCGGCATCTACTGCGTCCTGGGCGGCATCGTCGTGGAGAAGTTTAACTCCATTCTCCAGGTGCTCTACTCGATCGGAGGCGTTAGTTTTGGAGCCACGTGTGCCGTATTTATGCTCGGCATGCTAGTGCCACGGGCCCATGGAAGGGTGAGTTAAGGGAACGATTTTTGGAGACAGATATAACTAATATAGCCTCCCTTCCCCTTAGGCGGCCATCATTGGAGTTCTTTCCAGTATTGCGTGCATGTCCATCATAGTGATCCTTAGTTGGGGACGCAACCACTACGACACTCTGCCCACACGCGTCGACAACTGTCCGGCACCGGCCCTGAATGCCACCACCACAGTCTCCCCCCTCAGTCCGTCAGCCACAGCGGCAGCCCACACCGGCGATGAGTTCAGTATCCTGGATCTGTCCTTCAACTGGTATGTGGTGGTGGGCTTCGCCATAACATGGCTGGTGGCAGTGCCGCTAAGCTACATCCTGAAGCAGCGAGCCGATGTCAAGCTGGATCCCAAGCTCCTGTCGCCGGTGGTGCAGCCTTTCGTCCGCTACGAACTGGCGCAGGCGGACGAGCTGCACGAGCTGAAGAGCGAAAACACCAAGGCCTGAGGCAGTTAACCATAAGATATGCTTAGGTTGGGCATCGTAAAGATATAAGATAGGGACCCGGTGGTTGATATGAGTGCTGTGCACAGTCAGTGGACTCCAGTACGATCCCATTCCATCTAGATCGGATCTGTCTGCAGAACATCAAGAATTTTGCTTATCTGAATAAAAGGCTATATCACTATTGTCTGGCTCTTTAGTCGCAATCTTTGGACAGCGACATATTCTAAATATAAACCGCAGGAAAGACGAGAATTAGAGCAGAGCCGTGCCCCAAGCGATACATCGGGTAAATATATCAGTCTTTAATCCACATAACAACCGAGTCATAGTCATAGCCATAAATTGTGGAACCTGCTAAAATTCTTATCGCTAGCAAACATCTAGTTCAGAATGGGCCAAGAGTGTTAAGATCTTTACACACTGCCTGGAAGGGTCGTATAACAACAGGCACGCCCCGAATCTCTGTCGCGAAATGGAAATTATACAAAGACAAAAATCTGAAACGGAAAGTTTTGGAAGAAAAATGGATCGGGAAAGTTGAACAGATTCCATTTAATGCTATGCGATCTAAAAAGTATCTACGCCTAGTCTCCATTTGTAAATATATTTAAAGGTTCAAGATACTTATAAGAGATAGATAATCATGATGCACTTAATATTCGAACGCAGAGAGGCACCTGGAATGATTCTCTTACTTGGAGTTCTTTAGTTCTCATTTATATGGTGTGTTGGAAAAGCCAACAAGAGAAGCAAGACCAGATAACTAAGGCACTAAACTTCTGTTTGATTTACGAAGGAGGCTGTGGCCAAGATCAGATAAGGAGCCCACCGCCTGGGGGATTCATATTTAAGTGAAAATCAGGCCAGGGTATTCTCAAGTGTGCGCATAGACTTCGAACGTCGCATAACGGCCAAATCGGTACTTACAGAACCACTGCCAGGATGTCGAGCGACACGCCGGATCTTAGATTCGGCATAACGGACTTTGTGGTCTTCACCGTCATGCTGAGCGCCTCGGCTGGGATTGGTGTGTATTTTGGGTTCTTCTCGAAGGCCAAGAATACCACCGAGGAGTACCTACGCGGAGGCAAGAAGATGCAGACCCTCCCCATTGCCATCTCTCTGGTGGCTAGGTGCGTAACGCGGTGAACAAGAGATATTTAATCTTTACGATGCCACCCGAGGCGGTAGTAAAAGTAACTTACGTCAATCGCGTCCTTACCTCAAAGTGATATCCACTCGAACTAGCACTTGAACTCGAAATGTGTACATCCAATGCCACTTCCTTGGAAGTGTATCTGTTGGATCTACGATTTGTCTTTCTTAAGTAATCAAATGGCTTGAATATTTATCATTCTAGTCAGCTATCGGGCATTGCCATTATGTCCATTCCCGCCGAGAGCTACTCGTTTGGCTTCAACTACATCTTCGTGGTGCTGGCGATGGTGCCAGTCATACCCATTCTGATCTACATCATTGTGCCCGTATTCTACGAGAACAATGTTTCCAATTGCTACGAGGTGAGTGGGCTTATATACGCGGTATCACTTGCCTTTCCATGAAAATCGTGTTCCATAGTACCTGGAGATGAGGTTTAATAAGCGCACGCGTCAGTTGGTCACAATGGCTTTTGTGTTGAATTCGTTCCTCATGCTCCCCGTCTACATGTTCATTCCGTCGCTGGCCTTTTCCCAGGGTAAGTGAGGACAGAGAGTCCTGGAGAGACCGAAGCTTATCCATTCCATTGCAGTGACTGGAATGAATATTCACCTGATCAATATCATGGTCTCCTCGATCTGTATCTTCTACACGATGCTGGGCGGTATCAAGGCGGTGGTGTGGACGGATGTCGTCCAGGGTGGCGTGATGCTGCTCTCAGTAGTTACTGTGGGTGTCATGGGCACCGTCCGATCGGGTGGCTTGTCCACTGTCCTGGAGAATGCCGCTGAAGGTGGCCGAATGGATTTAGAGTAAGGTTGTGGATGAATTCTTCGATGAACTTTTGGACTGACTCTCGATTGCAGCTATAGACTAGATCCTCGGATTCGTTTGTCTTTCTGGAGCGCGATGACTGGTGGCATATTCATGTGGACAGGCCATATCGGCCTCAATCAGAGCTGTGTGCAGCGCATCGTCTCCCTGCCCTCGTATTCCCATGCCAAAAAGTGAGAGTTCTCTGGAAACATATGTATCTCCATTTCGGTCAGTCAGACGTTTGTGTATACTTTTTATTCCTATGTAGATCTCTGATTATTGCGGGACTGGGATTCATTATAATCAGTTTGTTCAACACCTTTGCGGGAATCATTATGTTTGCCCGCTACTACGGCTGTGATCCCATTCTGGCTGGTGTAGGTCCTTCCTCCCATACATCCATACATGAATACTTATTGCTGCACTCCCACAGCTCGTCAGCAAACCGGACAAGATGATGCCATTCTTTGTGCAGGACATTATGGGTCATTTGGCCGGAATGCCCGGCGTGTTCATCTCCTGCGTCTTCAGTGCAGCCCTCAGCTCACTCTCGGCCACACTCAACTCTCTGGCCGGTGTCGTATATTTCGACTACATCAAGCCCCACATCCGACACACAGATGCCCGTGCGAATGGAATCATGAAACTGGTGATCATCGCTATGGGCGGCTACTGCATCCTGGGCGGTTTCATAGTCCAGAACTTCAACTCGATTCTGCAGACTGTTGTGACTATCACTGGTGTCAACACGGGCGCCGTGGTGGGGGTATTTCTGCTCGGGATGTTTGTGCCACGGTGCAATAGCAAGGTGGCAGTGTCCAGCATTTTGATCAGTGTGGTGGGCATGGTGTGGATCATCGCTAACGGCCAGATGAACTTCAAAGCGGGCCTCATCAAGTACGAAGTGCTTCCCAACTCTCTTGACCAGTGCGAGGCCCGCGGTCTGCACACGATCTTGGATGCCATGCAAGTATTAAGTTTTCTGCGATCCCCATCCCACTCTCAACATTCCTTCCATTATTTTTCAGTAACCAAACTGCCGTAAGCCCAAACACTCCGAAACTGCCAGGTCCTGCAGCTCCAGTCACAACTGCCTTTCACAGCAATCGAGACTTTTCCCTCTACGACATCTCCTTTTACTGGTACAAAGTCGTCGGTGCGCTGCTGGTCTTCTTCTGGGCAGTACCCATGAGCTATGTCTGGCCCCCGGACCCCAACGAAAAGCAGAATCCTAAGCTATACTCACCCTTTGTTCGAAAGTTCCTAAATCTTTCGAATTCCGAACAGGAAATGGAGGAGGTGCCGCTGCGGAAAGCAACAGTCCGCGAGATTCCTGAACTTCGAGTGGATGCCAAAGAAAAGGAAACGGAAGTTGGACTTGAACACTAATCCGTTTTAGGAATTTAGTTAATCGTAGGCTGAAATATATGACGTAGAAGTAATCCTAGAGAACAAATGTACAGTGGGAAAGAAAAATCTATTAATAAAAGAGATAGTGCCTATTCTAATTTATATGTTTCACAAAGCACTAGTCCCGACCATTGAATCGGTGTGTAACATCCAGAAGGAAGTGTTTCCGACCTATAACGTATAAATATGCCTGTATGTCCGCCCGTCTTGACGGAGTAGTTTCGGAGACTAAAAAAGCTAGAGCAACCAAATGTTGTATCCCGATTCCTGCGATATCATACTGTTACAAGTGTATTTCAGTAGTATCGCCGGCACCACACAGTAGTACGAAAAACCCTTGCCGCGGCTCGTTAATAGTAGCTTCCAATGAAAACTATTTTGTGCAAAGAAATATAGAAAGCATAATGAAACTATATGAGAAATAAATTGATTTTCTTAAGAGCTTCCCGTTAGCGGCCCCAAAAGTAGGCATACATTTTTCGGATAAAAAAGGCTAGAGGTCAACTGAAGGTCCTTCAAACTTCAGTTTCTATTATTTAAGGTTCTATTTTTGGGATATGAGCACTGTTCCACCCACAATAAATGCGTGCAACAAACTCAGAGTGGGTGCGGCCAGTCAACGTACTAGATTATCAGCTGGGGAATAACCATAAAGACGTGAGGTCCAGAGGATGGTGATAAGAAGAGACAACGCAACGATCTGGAGGAATCTTAGATTTGAAAGGGATTCGATACATACTCATCATTCTCGATCCCTATTGACGGATGGGTTGGGGAAAATTAATGTACTTAGAACCCGAACAAGTACGGTACGTTTCGGCCCTGGGAGTGGATATGGGCGGTTCATTCGGGTATCACCCCGTGTAAGGCAGATAAGGAGCACTCCTGATTTACGATGTCGGTGATACGTTTACGCTTACCAGACAGATTTCGTGACGAGATAAGCAGCTATTGCCTAGCTGGAGATCGCTACTTAAGAAGGGAGTTGCTGCTTATCTCCATAAGTGTGTTGGCAGCCTCCACAAGAAGAGTCACGGCTTCCCCAGTCTTGTCCTCAGGGTGGTGTTATCGCTGAAAACCGCTAAAGCGTTAGAAAAGGATCAATATCAAGGCTGAACAATGGCGGCAAGTACTTCGGAGTTGCCCAGCACAGTGGCCACAGTGGCAGCAGCCACCGTAGAGAATCTACGATTCAGCGGGACCGATTACATTGTCTTCACCCTGATGCTTAGTGCATCGGCGGGCATTGGCGTGTACTTTGGGTTCTTCTCGAAGTCCAAGAACACTACCGAAGAGTACCTGCAAGGCGGCAAGAAAATGCCCACATGGCCCGTGGCCATATCCCTGGTCTCCAGGTGAGTGTCATCACCTTTACCGCTGAAGATTTTCCATGTCGTCACAACCAAAGGTTCTGAGGCGGAACACACAGAGACTTTATGGACCCTTTAAGATAAGATCTGTTGAAGATAGATAGATCTGTCTATGTCTATGTATCTATTCGTCTATCTTATCAGAAGTGCGCATGGCGCTTAGTCCATCCATAAAATGGAGGCTTAGATGAATTGCTTTATTCGGTGAAATTATTGTGAAATTAATCAAAATTGTGTTCGGGCCCCTCTTTTTGCACGGAAATCATTTTCCGATCCAATGTAAGGATAGGAGGTATCGAGACTAATGATGTTTCTTTTTCAGTCAACTCTCCGGCGTGGCTATGATGTCCATTCCGGCAGAGTCCTATACCTTCGGCTTCAACATTGTGTTCACCGTAATGGCTATGATCCCGACGGTGCCCGTTCTCATATACATCATTGTGCCTGTGTTCTACGAGAACAATGTCTCAAACTGTTACGAGGTGAGTGCGAATGTCCCCCTATCTCCATGTAGCCTCTAAAATGAATCCTTTCATCTTTCCCTGTAGTACCTGGAAATGAGGTTCAACAAGCTAACTCGCCAACTGGTGACCATTACATTCATAATGAACCAATTCCTGATGCTGCCGGTCTACATGTTTGTGCCCTCGTTGGCCTTCTCCCAAGGTACAATGGAAATAGATTTTAATCGTGTTTCGTTTGGCGGTGAAATTAAAATTCATTTTCATTTACAGTGACCGGCATCAACATTCACCTGATCAACACAGTGGTCTCCTCCGTATGCGTCTTCTACACTATGCTGGGCGGAATCAAGGCTGTGGTGTGGACGGATGTCGTCCAGGGTGGCGTGATGCTGCTCTCCGTAGTGCTGGTGGCTATTCTGGGAACTTCGCACACCGGCGGATTGAGCAAGGTCCTTGAGAATGCTTCAGAGGGTGGACGCCTTGACTTTAAGTGAGTTGAATAGCCTTCCGCTCATCGATGGATTCACTGCATCATTTTGTTTTTGCATAGCTTCGGGATAGATCCTCGCCTGCGTGTCACATTCTGGAGTGGAATATTCAGCGGCCTGCTCATGTGGACGGGAAAGGTGGGTCTCGACCAGAGCTGTGTGCAGCGCATCGTCTCCCTGCCCTCGTATACCCACGCCAAAAAGTGAGTGCTAATCGCTAGAGAGTGCGGACCAATTCTTACTAATGTCTCTCTCTTTGTTTTGTAGGTCGCTATTAATTGCTGGCATTGGCTTTCTGTTTATCATGATCTTCACCTGCTTCATTGGTATCATAATGTTTTCCTACTACTACGGATGCGATCCCATACAGGCTGGGGTAATGATATCCTTTCAATATCTGAATAAACACATTCTCAACTCTACCCTTTCTTCCGTAGCTGGTCAGTAAGCCGGACAAACTGATGCCGTTCTTCATTCAGGACATCATGGGGCATCTAATCGGCATGCCGGGCGTATTCATCTCTTGTGTGTTCAGTGCCTCCCTCAGCTCCCTGTCCGCCAGTCTCAACTCTTTTGCCGGCGTCGTCTACTTTGACTACATCAAGCCACACATCCGGCACACGGATGCACGTGCGAATGGTATCATGAAACTGGTTATCATCGTGATGGGCGCCTATTGTATCCTGGGCGGATATATGGTGCAGAACTTCAACTCCATCATCCAGACCATGTGGACGATAACGGGCATCAATACGGGCGCCGTGGTGGGGGTATTCCTGCTCGGCATGTTTGTGCCCCGCTGCAGTGCCAAGGTGGCAGTCACGGGCATAATCTTTAGTGTGGTGGCTATGCTTTGGATCATCATCAACGCCCAGATAAACTTTAAGGCAGGCCTCATCCGGTACGATGTTCTTCCAAATGGCCTGGATCAGTGCGAAGCTCGCGATTTCCAAGTGATCTTGAACTCCATGTAAGACAGCCATCCAACATTCTTAGTTTCCAAAAAATAAGGCTTTCCATGGTTTATTTTTCTGCAGCAACGGTAACACCACTACGCCTGCTCCCACTATGGAGGCGCCGCCACAGGTGACTACTGCCTTCGGAAGCAATCGGGACTTCTCCCTCTACGACATCTCCTTCTATTGGTATAAGGTGCTGGGTGCTATTTTGGTGTTCGCCTGGGCCGTTCCCATGAGCTATGTGTGGCCCACGGACAAGGAGGAGAAACAGAATCCCAAACTCTATTCGCCTTTTGTTCGCAACATGTTGAACGTGCCCGATCCCGTGGTAGAAATGGAGGAGATGCCGCTGAAGTCATCTGACTTAAAGGCTAAGGAGAACGGCACTTCGCAAGATGCCTAAAGAACACATGACCCCCATCCACAAATTTGTATTATATTATATTAATAATAATAATAATAATAAGAAAAAATCTGCATATTCTACAGTAAATGCGTATCATTTGGACAGTAGGAGGGTCCATTCCCAATGGCTACAGAATGTCTGGCAGTTCGAGCAGCTAAGGCGTTTTGGGAACTGCCTTTTGGCCAGCATTTCATTTCTCTTCCCCACAGGCGCAGTACTTGCCGTTATTCTTCGCAGAGTACGTTAACGACTTGCTGGAGTCCCAGGAGCTGAACGAGCACAAGGAAATATCTGAAACCATACCCCAGGCCAAATAAACACCATAGCTTATTGAAATTGGTTTCGACGCGATTTTGACGGCTGGCCTAATATTATTGATAGGGGTGGGAAAGATACAATTTTAGAAATTAAATTTAAATTTTGACTTCCTTTTGGGATGGATTTTTCCATAGTTTTCATTCCATACTTATCTCACACTTTGAATACCCATACCATACCCTACTGATCTAACATAAATGGCTTTTATAACGCTATTTATATTGCAGGACATTGGGAATCGTTTTTACGACAACTGAAATCAGTAAACCACTCATTTACCCTTGATATTGAAAGTATTTATCAAGATTTGCCTTAGTTTTATTGATAACTAATAGAACACTTCTTTTGCATTCCTTGAGCTACGAAGATAACAAAGTCTGGCCATGATTTTAAAAATCGTGTTAAAATAACAGAAGCAGTGCGTAAAGAGGCGGGAAAATTTAAATTTATCTAAAATTTGATATGGCAAAATATTTATCTGAAATTTATCGGAACTTCTTACACTTACATGTATTATACATGTGATATACATTATCAACTACACATACAATTTGTACGATACTTTTCTGCAGCGCAGCCCTGGCATCACTATCGAAAATCAGCTGTGGGCAGCAACAGCGATGGGCAGCACTGCTGAGGCGCGCGAAATCAAAATCGGAAATCAATTTTCATGCGATGTGTATTAAAATACATTTTTCTTTATTTATGTAAATCAGTACACATAAATAAAACTCGAGTTGCTACAACAAATGTACACACATCTTGAATATTGCTCAACAATATTGCAATTTGCATACTCTTGTACAATAATCACAGCATCTTTATCTTTCTATCATTAATTGGTCTAGACTAATGCTTAGCTTACGAACTAAAGACTACATTTTCGGTAAGTACGATGTGGGGAAGGGATGGGATGACATGATGAGGGGTAGCACTAGAGCGCCGCCCTGGTACCAGAACCGAGCTGCCGATACACGCCCGTCTCGCCCGGCGGCACAGTGTCCAGCTGCACTTTGCTGGCGTCACAGATCGACTGATGCCCCACGCCCTGCCCGCTGCTCGAGCTGGTGAAGACCACGGCAATGGGGTTGCT